TCAGAAGCTCAGTTAAGTTTCACTCCTGCCACATGAAACCTTGCAGATTTTGCCTGAAGTGGACATCACTTTGACAGGACCCTCTCTGTGCCCAAAGGGAGAGTGGTGACTGTGTCTCTCTCAGATCATAACCTGACATGAGACCAATGCAGAAATAAAAAGCGTGCTTTAGATGTTAAGCTTGCTCAGAAGAAAAACAAGTTGTCTCTTTTTCAGTCAGACAATAAGCATCATTCATTTGGAAAGGTCAATATTAATTAGCAAATCCAGCAGGGATAGTCTGTCACAGGCTTTTTTGTGCATCTGCTTGTTCTCTGTTGCAAATGAAAGATAATCCATATTCAGTCAGAGGCCTGAAAGGTCTCTTGTCTCTGAAATTCCAACCTGCTTTAAACAACTGGTAAATATAATTAATTTCATTTTTAAGATTCAAGATGTTGAAGTAGATTATCCTTGATTTGCGTCTTGGCTGCTTCCACGATTCTGAATTCTTTAAAATCAAAGGTAATCTCAAAACAGCCCAGCAGATAGCCCAATTGAGTTACATTTCTGACTGACAGGACAGTGGCACTTATCCTTGGGGAAAGGCTGGCATTTCTTTCAGGCCTGGATTTCAAATAAAAATGTGGAAAAGTACTCTCAGTGGAAAAACCACCCCCCTCACCTTTGGATGGCATCTCTGAGTCACACACCAAACCTGGGATTCACACTGCACTGATCCAAAAACTATTTAATACTTTTAGGATCCTGACTGTGCAACCCATGGGGTTGGGATGTACCAGCTGAGAGGCTTTGATCCATTCAGGGAGAGTCCAGGGAAGGCTGCTGGGATTTCCTGTCACCCACAAATGCTTCCTTGGTCAAGGGAGGAGGGCTCTAAACAGCTCCTGCTGCAGACCCAGAGGACTCGAGCTTGAAAAGTCTGTCTGGAGGACAGAAAGCTCCAACTCATGGTGACAGAGGCTAATGCTGTATAATCCCAATATTTTTGTTTTTAAGATCACTGTGGCACACACAGCAATAAACTTGAAACTGCAGCTCTTCTTTCTTTGAAGCATTTTTCTGTTAACTTTGCACATGGGTAATGGATAATTAGAAATAAGGTTTTAGTCTACAAATACATATTAAGAAATGAATACTAAAAAACCCTTAAAGCAATATACAGAATTTAAATAAATTACTACAGTTTCTGAAGTATGCAATGACTTCAAGATGCTAAGGCTATTACATGAAATATCAATAGGAGTTCTACTCTTGAGTGACTTAAATTTCCATATTGCATAACTATACAGTTTATATTTACCATATAATAATGGTTTTAATAACTCAGATGAACTACTGAAAAAGTTCTTTTTTTTTTTTCTGACTTCACATGCTCACGCTCAGTTTTCTTTAGCTGCCTGCTTTATTGTATGATTTGTTGAAACAGCCGTATTTACCCATCTAGCCTACAAGCTGTTTGGAAGAATGATATTAACTCCATGAACATTTATGAGGATCTCTGGACATAATATTAGCAATAAAAAAATAAAAACCAAATTAGCAACTATTTGTTAATTGACCACATGCTGCTGTAAGTGTATTTTTAGTCAGAATGATCTTACTGCAACAGTATCCCTATGCTTGTCTTCCTTGTCACCTAAAACCTTCGCATAAAAATTTATGGAATTTGACGTGGGGATTAATTCTTTTATTTCTTCAATGTTCCCAGCTGACTGCTCTAACAATGATACTTTTGCTGCTGTAATGGATTTCCATATACTGTCTTTTTTCTACATTGCACTTCCATGCATGTTGCTTGATGACATCTCCAAGGCAATCTTTGGGTGCTTTGGTAAGTACACTATTTGGGTGAAAGGTTTCATATTATTTACATTAATTCCCTATTTGTTGCTGCTCGAGTCTGACTTTCATAAATGTTTTTAATCTTTACCTATAACACTGTGGACTTCAAGAACACCTTCCTCAGTCCCACTCCTTCAATATTCTAAACAAGCAGGGATGTTCATCTCTTTGGCACCTCCTCTCCAGAACAATTTTGATGGCATCCTCTCCCATAATATCCTCTCTGATAATAACATGGAACAGCATTATGTATGTAGCTGCTCTATGGTTAGAGACTGGTCTTTCCTTGATACACATTTGCAATGGCTACAGAAGATTTTCTTGTGATCCTCACTCAGCACTGCACAATCTGTTACAGAGCTGTTATAAGAAGCAGTTTCAGGTAGTCCATTAGAGACACAACACATTTTATCACACCTTATCAGTATCTCAATGACCATTTAAAATTCAGCTACTGACCTGATATTCTTTCAATGCCTTATAAATAGATTTGGTGGTCTGAGATAATTTTTCTAAGGGACAGAATATCCCCATTACAACTCTTCACGCAAACTGGCAGCTTGCTATTAAATCTCAGCATAGGCATCAAGGATGAGTACATACGGAAATAGTCTCATCTTTTCCACGTCAAAGCCATGAGGATTTATAAGGGAAACCTTGTAGTGCTGCTGCCACTAATGCCGAAAAGAGAGATTCTGCCACTAAGCCCAGAAAACCAGCAATCTTCAAGACATTATAATTTATTAACATCCTGTGTTGGTTGACTTACACTGCAGATATTAATATGTAATTTATTTTACAGTATGGCACAGTAATTATTCATGGCACTCTCTAAACCTGTACAAATGGAAGAGCTCATCCCCCAAAAGCTGCAATGGACTTCATGAAAGCTACAGAGATTTGAATAACTAAGGGGAAAAGGAGTAAATGCAAAAGTTCACAACATATGCTCATTTCCCAGGTATTTTGTTAAGTGTTACAGTGTATCTTTCATCCCTAAAAATATGTAAATCCATTACAATCTTGGAACAGCATCTGAAATAGAGTCTAGCAAAGGGATGCTAGACTGTGCTGAGAAAGCAGGGATGCATGGCACAACATGAGGGTTTACAGCTACTCGAGTTGTGGTGTTTTGCTTGAAAAGTGAAGTCAGTTATGGGGAAAGACTGAAAGACAAGGCAAGCTAGGAGAGGAAGGTACTGATCATGCACATGCACCAGCTGCAAATTTAGCAGCTGTAAAGAGGAATCAGATGCACAGTCAAGGTACCAGAGAGACAATCACGCAAATAACTTGATTTTACAGACTGGGTTTTCGTGTATCTTTTTAGGCTGCTGTGGGCTGTATATAATTCACTTTGCTTGTCTCTGAGCTATACTGAAACCACTCCAATCAGCAGTACATGGGTCCTACTCCTTTTAACACTTTAGAAGTTCTACCATTGCTGTATCAATGTTGTACTGTACACACTCAGATTCTCAATGAGCTTGACTTGACTTCAGTGCAGTAACGCTACATTAAATGGCTATTTTCTAACTCATAGATCTGGAAAATGGGGTTTAATCAATGACCATTAGACCTTGCGCTCCCTTCTCACATAAAATGCCTTCTTTCATCCAGTGTTGCTGTATTGTGGCTTTAATAAGTTCTGATTGGCATTTGGCATTGGGTTACACGAGCATGGAGGCCTTATTAGCAGGAAGAAATGGAAGTATTACAGAACAAAGCAATTAAGTGGGACAGGATAACTCACAGCATTGTGTCAGACTGTGTCATGCTTACATTTCACTTCATGGTATTGAATTCCCCCTACAAGGAGATACAGCTAACAAAGGTAAGACATTTCTCTGCTTGGGAAATTGTCCTTGAAGGTTATTTTTTATAATTGAACACCACTTCCTAAGAAGTTCTGAGCACGTGCATTTCTCCTTTCAGTCAAAAGGCCTAGTCACAGGCTTTTTACTAAATTCACTTCAGTTTTAAAAATAGCATATGTATGAAATCTGTGTACCACTTATGTCTCATTTAAATCTTCACATGCTTTTTCCTCCCCTCTCACCCCTAATAATAAGATCTGCCCATCTCAAACAGGTTCAAGTAGGCACTGAATGGCATAAAACCTCTTATGTGCACTGGTACTAAAGGAATTTCTCTTAAATTTCCTTCCAATGCTTCAGCATCACAAAGGAAACTGACGACCCAGTTCTGTGAGATGGAGGTGTCCTGGAAGAGCCCTCGTCCTGAAGGGGACTAAAGCCGAGCCACCACAGTTCATTCAGGAGGTTCTCAGCTTCTCAGAAACCACCCACATGATGCCTATTTCTGGGCATTGTCAGCCTCAGAAGATTAGGAACAAACAGGTGGCTTGCACAAGGCGAAGTGCCCAGGCTTGCCAGATTACTGGTGGGAAGAACCACAGTCTGTCTTCTCTGATAGTAAGATAATATAAACATATGTTTTTCTTCAACTTTTACTTTGAGAGCAAAGATAGTCACACGTTTTAAAATTCTACTTCCTTCTTGTTATGTACAGTTTAGATAAGAACTACCTTGATTAGGTGGTTCATCTCAAAATTTCACAGGCTACATAAAATCATGTAGGACTGATGATAACTTCTATATCAAAATAATTTTCGTTTCTTTCCCTCTTACCTCCCCAATTACTTACTGCATTTCCTCTGAGTCTGTTAAGACATAATATTGAAAAACTACATATAGGGAATGCTGGACTACATTTTAAGGAAGGATACTGAGATTTTCTAGTCCAGAAAACAGATTCAAAATTTGAAGGCAGTCTGACAATTAAAATTTACTTGCTGCAGCATTCAGAACAGCACTTGTGTATTCAAACCAGTATGCTCATCTACTTAAATACTCCCTCATCCTCTTTCATTTGTTAGGAATCCTCTCTCTTTAGCCAGAGTTCCGGGTTCTTCTCTGATCCCTGCAATAAGAACCGTAAAGGCAACCAGTCACAGACACGACTGCTACCAAGTTCATAGCTAACACTTGCACAGGTTAAAAAAAATTCTTTTCGCCGTTTTCTTTTCAAATGTGCCTGCAAATGAGAAGCTAATACACTAATACCCGTCTGTGTTCTGTCTGTGAACAGTAAGACTTGAATGACCCCTGGGGCCCGATGGAGCAAGGACTTACGCTTGGAATGTTTGTCACAGAGAGCCGACGCCCTCATGTCGCAGAGTCTCAGGGATCCTTTGCTGCTGCTGTAGACAAAGAGATTGCAGTGGTGGGGATGGAACTCAGAGGCTGTAATCACTTCTGTCAGGTCCTCCATATTGGCTGGCTTTATATCTACAATGTCTGGGTGGAAGTTTCATCAAGGAAATGCAGTTTTCTGCAGGTAAACCACGACTCTTACTTGAAGGAAGCATGCAAATGTACACACAGGTAATGCTTTTAAAGATACACTCATTTGTTTGGTAGTAGTACAGTTTTAAATTTCCATACCTGGCCCACTTATACCAAACCAAATGTAAAACTCAAAGCCTGCAGGGCTTTACTGCAGATGCCATTGGCAGGTCACCATTTATCCATGCTGTGCAAAGACATGAAAGAAACAGTGTTGCAGGGACATAGAATTCTCACTTCAGTTCTTCATTGAAGCTAATAGAGAGCAGGTAGCTGTATCTCCTGTGCTTGCTATTGAAACTGCTGCTCTATCCCAGATAATGCTGACTGAGAGGGAACAATGCACAGCTCATCTGCTCACTCCAGTAAAGCTCACTGGCTTTTATGGTTATGCAACTTTAGCTAAAAAATACACGTAGCTTAAGATAAAAGACTCAAAAAAAAAAAAAAAAAGGTACTTTTTTTGCAAAGGCACGCATGGCAAACACAGAAGTATTATACTAATTCAATTTCCTTTAAAAAATTACACACTGTATTAGATTTGCTATTTGAATATTTACAAAGAAGTATCTGAAATTGCATCCTTATGTTTTTATATAAATGACATCCACTACTGAAATCAGCACGAATTTCTGTGATTGAGAATTGTACACCTGAATCATTTAAGTGACCATCATCTGGAAAAAAAAAATACATCAAATATCTACTTTCCTAAGCACAAACTTGTCAGCTGGACCACCAAAGATTACCTATATGAAGTGTAACTCACATGGTGCCTCTCCAACACTTCTATCTTCACTTGTACACACTACCTGCCTAAAAACCCAGGATCCACACTGAGCCTGTGTTTGGAGGAAAAGGCCAGTCTGTGAAAGATTGCTCACAGAGAAAAGAATGAAAGGGAGTCTCATGAGGGGGCTGGAAGAAAGCAATAGATACACAAACATAAAATGAAATAAGGATATATATGTAAAGCAGTACATTTAAATCAGATTGTGCATTTTCACATGGCCCTCGGAAATGTGCTACAAATTAGCCATCCAAATGTTAACAAATCCTTCGAACAAGAAGAGTAACATCACCCTATTTTACTGATGAGTTTGTGTGAGAAGCAATAAAGGATTTGCATAAGATCACATGGGAAATGCATGACAGAACAAACCCAGATCTACTGAGTCTCAGTGCAGTGCCCTAAACACAAATCATCTCAGTGCCTGGATTCCCTGAACATAAAATTTGAATCAGTTGACGTGCAAAATTTAAACATCTCAGAGGAAAAGATAAATGAGAAAATCTGTTTTATTGATGGTGAGAAAAATCATATATCATGGTACTAAGCCTGTTTCTGCTCCCACTGTGACCACTTCCCAAATGGAAGACCAATCAAAGACCTTTGACTGATTTCTGTGGGAATGGGATACAGTCCATCACCACCTTTACACTCCATATTTCACCACTTTTATACTCCATATTTTGATCTTTCCCAAAAATATAGGTCTGGCACAATGTACAGTGAAATAGCACAAAAGATTCAGAGATAATTATCTTGATGACTGTGCATACATAACACTGTTGTGGTTTGGGTTTCTTTCCTTTTTATCCCCATGGGTTTAGAAAGGAAAATATCAGCAAAACTATTAATATCTTGTGACATTTAATAACAACTGGGAATGAATTAATGTTGCATTTTAACTGCATTCCTACTTACTTGTACTATCACATTTGCATCCATCTCCAAGAATCCATCATGATTAATAAAAGTGCAATGAATGTTAAGATGTAGAAACATTGATTTGCCTCTTTTATAAAGCATCACTAAACAAACCTGAATATCAACAGAAAAAAATAACCTTTATTCAGTTATGTGTATTTGATGAATTTGTCTCAAGAAACACCTTTAAGTAAAAGCAATTGCTTTCAGGGATTGAATTTCTTTGTGGAGTTCAGAGAAATTATGGTTACTCAATAGAAGAATTTCACCTCTCAGCTGAGAGATGAGTAATTGCTGAGTGATGAGAAAGATATAAAATATAAATGGAGTATATGAAACAGTCATGCTAGGTATCATTTTTCTGGATGCTGAAGACACTATTGATGAATTTCCTTTCATTGTGTAAAATGAATAAACCTATGCTGAATAATGAAATTAAATATTCCATCCTCCTGCCAGAAAAGCAGAAAATACTTGAAACATATTGCATTTCCAGACGTGATCTAAATCTCCACTGAGAAAGAACCTCATTTGCCTGCTGAGGATCATAGCAAAAATGAAAATTCATCATTTCACTAGATTTAGAAAAATTAAAACAGCAACACAGTATTGAAGTAAACAACCAAGGGACTAGAGAGTTGCAGATGAGATTTGGCCCAAATGCATTTGTAATAATAGATGGAAAAACAGCCTTTGTTTTGACAGCTACAGAACCCAATATATCAAAAGAAGAATATGTCACACAAAAGAACATTTTCCTCCTCTCATGATTTTTGCCATCTATTTGAAAACAATCAAGTACAGCTTGACATGTGATGTGTGGGAACTGTATTTAAACTAGCATGACATTGTAAGGGCAAGCATCTCCCATGAGACATTTTTCATTTCTATTTTTCTATCTTCCCTTTGTGTCTTTTCTTCCTTTTAAGCACAGCATTGTATGGCAGGAAAAAATAATAAAATTTTGAAAAACTGGACCAGACAGTGTGCTTCAGAAACAGGGCCTTTGGTGAACTTGAACAGCACGAAACAGAGGGAATCTGGCAGAAACAGATTAAATGAAAATTCCACTGCTAAAGAGAAAACTATGTTAATAATTTTGGTAATAATAATAACTACAAATTTGTAGTTATCTCCTACACTACTGCATTCCCCTGCAGTCAGATCTTGTGGGGGGCTGTCTCAAGTGGGGCATGGTCCTTTTCTCCCACTGCACTGATCTCTGAAATATCAGTCACATCTGACTCTTGTTCTACCACATGATCTGCTTCATTTTCAGAGTATGGAAAAACACCTAGGACCAAAGGCATCTAAGACAGAAAGAACAGAGAGTTCAGTTCACCATTGGCAGTGCACTAGGATATAATTCTGTTGTCCTAAAAAGTGCAGTGTTTCTGTGCCTTAATAGGGTAGAGATTTTGCCTAAGAAAATGAAAAATATGTTTATATTGCTTTGACTCCCACACATGCTTGACAAGAACAAGGCATTTTGATCCCTGGTAGGTAGTTGCACTAAGGGAAGGTTGAACTTGCACCTTGCCAGTGATGGGCTAGAATACATTGGCAGTCTTTCAATTCATTAAAATTAAAACAAGCAATGGAAAATATCTTCTTGCTTGCAAAAAACAGAACAAGTCCTTCCTCCTTAACTATTTGCTGTCTTACACACCAGACCTGGCCTCCACTGCTTGGCTCCATGGAACAGGACAAAGCTATGAAGAGGCCAGCAGACTTTAGAGATGCTCTCCACAGCAAAATGGAAATAAAAGGTCGAGTACACTTGGCAACTACAGTGGTGAGAGATGATGTTCTCACAGCTGGGCTAGTAGAGCTACAAGACCAGGAAAGGCAATTTTGGGAAAGGCAGCAAAACAATGTAACCTTAACCTTGGCTGAGCATCTACGCTGCCTTCCCCAAACTAATCAAGAACAGAAATAAAACAAAGGAGAGTGAGTAGGGCAAGGCCTGGCTGGGCTGTGAGGAGGCTTTAGGGAAAGATCTGAGGGAGAGGGGGAGGGGGAGAGAAGAAAAACCCTAAGAGAGGAAGGAGGAAAGAGCATAAGGAAAGGCATGATTAACAACCTGCAATGATATGCAGTGTGAGGAATGTGATCTGAGTACACAATTCAGTTATATGGTATGTTTAGTTCTAATCCAGTATTGTGTGCTGCTGCTGGGCAGCTGATAGCAAAATGAGGATAACAGGAGGAAGAAAATTTGTTCCATTGCCTCTGGGCCACTGATCTAACAGAAATATTCCCCTCTGGGAGAAGTCACTCCAGAAAGTTCCTTTTATTCCAGGTTACAAAGTTGACCCTCACCTTGATCCAAAATTCATATTAATCAGACTTTTCCTCTTGATCAGCTAGAATATAAATGAGCATGCCTGCTTTATGCTCATGCCAAAACATGGATAATGAGAATGTGGAAAATACACAGGGTTCCTGCTGAGCAAAAAAGGTCCCAGAATAAGTTTTCTTGTATGATAATGGAAACATAGAAGCCTCCTCAAAACAGATTAAATTCCCTTTGAAGTGAACAGTATGCATAAAAAAATAGCTTCTTCGTCCTCCTGAAACCATCAAGGAATTCAACAAGAAACAGAATTTTGTAGAGAACAAATTTGTAGCTCACAAGCTATAGCATGTAAAGTATTGAATCTTCTATCATTATTTTGGAATAATTTGAAATTACTTGTGGGTTCACTGCAAGAAAGAAATAGTTTTTATAGTCAGAAGAAGGCTCGAGAAAAAAAACTACTTGCCCCCCTCCCCCTTTTACTCAACTGCAACGGAGGAGGAGAGGCTTTCTTTAGAAAGCCAGACAACATTTTCCATAATAACTTCACAAGAAAAACAAAACTCCCATCTTTCTTATTTCAATATATGCTGATATGACACTTCATTTTTATCCCTGCGTGGGACTTAGGTTTTTGCAAATTTAAGCACTTTCAAAAAATAACCTTCAGCATAGCATGTCTTACCAAACCTGACTGTTCCCTGTGTTTTCCACAGAGATTTGTTCAGGTTACTAATTTTGTCTGCATCTCACACCTACATTTCAGCTTGGCCCTAGAAAGAATCACTGACTAGTAGTTGAAATCAATAGCAATTCATGGAAGCTGCCAGGGCTTCAGTTTAGAGTAATTGATTACTGTGGTCCTGCTGAGGCTCTACACTTTTAATACACGCATTTCTCTGAGTGGTTTCCCCTGCTAGTCATTTAGTGCACGCTATTTTC